AGCGCTAAATCCCGCCTAATGCATTCACAGCGCATTGGTACAGCTGTCGCGTATTGTACAGCCGAAAGCCCGCCACTCCTAATAAGGTATCCATATTTGACTAATAAATATGGCAATGTTTACTGAGTAGGTGCGATAAGATGGGCGCTCGCGTGCGTTTTTTTTTTCTGGAGAAGGCACGAAGGGCAAAAAGGCACACATGCTGTGCACCTTCAGCTCGCGCTGAATGGTCTACAGGAACTAAATCGTGATCATTTTTTTTTTTTTTTTTTTTTTTTGGTGCCAGGCGTGACCGTGGACCTGCATCTAGCGTGCTGGCCAGAGCGCACACTCGCGCGCAAGCCCTATTTGTTTGAGAGCGGGCCTCGATAGCACTTGTCGAAACAGCTTCCAATATACTTGTCCGTTCCATCCATGGCCATTGATGAATGATGCGAACGATATGAGAACACGGTGCTCGGCGACCGCGGTTACTGAGACAGTAAGCCAGACCTCTTGTTCGATCTGAGACTTAGCTTACTCCTGTGGATTGAAATAAACGCTTGTTAATGTGTCTGTTTACCCTAAAATGAAAAATAAAAGCGTCACTCTCCGGGTCAATTCGTGCTACACCCTAACACAGTCGCTAGTTATTCCCCAACAAAAATGATGTCTCGCCCAACGTTTGTCAAAGAACTTAATACCTATACTTCGGCAAAATTCTTCTGAAATGTTATATTTCAACCCAAAGAAACTAGAAAAATGCCATTCATGAAATAGAAAGAAATAGGTGCATGGAAAATAATAAAGATACTGACTTTGAGGATAAAAGTATAAATACAAGTAATCTCCAACAAACTACTCACTGAAAATGTTTCAACTTAATGTCGACATTCGTTTGATTAGCTCTGTGCCACAAACTGCCTGTGATTATGTTCACCAGTTACCATACCGTTGGGATTTGTCGAAGCCTTCCTTTTTCAACGATAATTTTTGCAAACTTAATAAACGCATTAATCAATAACAGTTATATAAGAAGTGCAGGTTTCTCTTCATGTTTGTGCAAAATCGCATCTCACTTGTAATTTTACACCCAATAATTGTTTATCTGTAACAGAACTGCGAGTATTCGAATAATGATTACTAATGCACCAAATATGTCAGGTCAGAGGGGAGAGTATTAGCCATTTTTCTACTCGTTTACAGCAATGATTTCATTAGAAACATCATTACTGCTGTCCATTGGGACAACCTTAGAAGATATTATGTTGGCATATTATTTTCATTTGAGTGAAATTACAAAGGACTTTGGCTTTATTGTGTTCTCACCTCGCAGGCTTGATTGTAATATAGGATGCTTCAGTTGGACAAATAAATATCGCCAATTACCACACCAAGGCAAAAGACAGTCAAGTTCAGCGCCAAGGAAGTCACTTAAGCACCATCTTTAGCCTCCTCATTTCCATAATATCGACCGGTGCCGACCGTGCTATCTTCCCCACGCTTCTCCGCCGTTGTTCCATCATTCTCTCTTAGCATGCGTGCCCACGCTTTTATTGGCCACCCAGAACCAGCGAGCCTTCAATATTTTCAGCTCGCATGACTTGTAAATAGCCGTGTACAAGGCGATCGATATAGTGAGCACTGACAGAGGGGAGGGGGACCCGGCCGTGTGCGCGCGCGTCTGCGACGCCGGAGGGGCGCGCTATTGTTCTCGGCGATTTTTCTATTGTTCCGGTGCGGGGAAAACTAATGACCTCGAACGGTCCTAAAAATCAGCGGAGAATGGAGCAAATCAATAGCGCTGGAAATGAAATTTCCATCGGATATAACCCTCAGTAAGGCTCAAATTGCTTCTTCTTCTGTTTTGCTTTTTGGACAAAAATACAAAGTCTGTTGTTGTTTTTTTGAGCGTCGTATCAAATGCCCACCAAAGTTGTGAATCATTTAATTACGCAGTAAAAATCCTGGGGATTCAACAATAGCTAATGAAATCTTTGTTGTGAATAAAACAACAAGGCATTCGAAACATTTAGCGGTAATTGATTCCTTTCACGTCATTCTGGGGATGAAAGGGGGGATACTGTCCAAAACACTGAGTAACCTCCGGGTCTTTTAGAACGATATATCAGAGATATCCGTGCACTGTGCTACCACCCTCCTTTTGGACTACAATGACGGCCAGTGTATTCATAGAGAAACGACCTTTTGAACTGAGTTGTATAGAAATGCCTCTTTTGCCAATATACCATTTGTGTCCTCGACTTATGTTTGGTAAGGGATCAGAGCTGCAGCGCATAACCATTCGTCAGCTCGACTCGCGGCTTCCAAGCTTCGAGATTTTAGGGCGTCGACTCCGGAGAGACCCAATCGAAGCTCTGCATGTGTCAGTGTCTGCTCCAGGGACATTAGTTCGCTTTCTTCCATGGCGTGGAGATAGTGCGTTTGGTTCTGGACATATCAAAGGATTAACATAAAAAGTGCCTCGTTGCTGGAGACAGAGCCGAGGATGTCCAAATTCTAGATTCCTTATTTGGTCTCTTTCCCATCTAGGACCATTTGTGTGAGCATGTTCTGTCTTCGCAGTTGATAAAAGCTGCACTTAAGCTTTGCACATAATGACTACGGTAGTTAATGGGGTTTTCATTTTTCTCCTACATTCAGGCAGTGCGTTAGCAAGGTTAGAAGGAAATGTCCCAACCTCTCTTTAGCGCTCCATAGGCAAACGAGCTTTCTCTCTCAAAACACGCGCCATCTGTACCCGGTGCTTGGAGCACAATCTCGCAGGGCTCCATCACTCTCAGCAGTTCCCCGGTGTATTTAACATCTCATCCAGCGGCTAATTTCACCCCGATAAAAAAAATAATAAATAAATTACCAAGGGACCCTTAAAACTCGCCGGCTTAACCAGCCAGACGTGCACAATGAGTGGGAGCGACTCCACAGAACAATCTGCAACTAAGGAGGAGGGGGCGGAAAACGAGAAGAAAGAACGAAGACAAAATCCCCCCCCCCACTTTCCCGCTTTGTTTTGTCGGTTTCTGCGAGCCGACGCTGGAGGAGCAAGCCATCTGAGGTCCTCCGTCGGAGTTTTCTTTCTCCTTCGCTGCGTATATCGGCCGGCCAAACAGCGTGGATTTCCGATTTGCGTACGCTGGCTCCACGTTGTGCAATGCATTCAATTCTGCATCCATGCCCCCGTGCGTTTGGGGACCGGATTGATTCGGCACCGATATGGCCAGCCGTGCCCCAGGGCAAGGGACTGGTGTGGTGTTTTGGTATTTGAAGACATTGCCTTGCGGGTTTGTTGCTTTTCTGTTCCGCCTGAGAGATTGTGTAATCTGTTTGCTGTGGGGCAATGCAGTAGCATCAGTTTTCAGTCCTGTAGTTCGTGTATGGAACACTCCTTCCACCGTTTCTTCTTTTCTTCCATGCACTAACTCAGCAAATAACTCGTAGATAACTGAAATTCTAATGTGCCCTTCTTACCTTGTTCCTAGTTTCTCTGTGGTCACTCAAAATCTCTCCAACTATACGATAAATATTCATTATTTCCCACTAGTGAATCACAAAGATCGCTTTTTATCCTCTCAATACCAGACGGATAGAACTAAACAAAATTTGATTTGAATATTTTTGGGGGTTTCGCAAAGATGCAAGACCCAACGAAATATCGTCAATACCACGTCGATCGCAAAAATCTCAAAACAAAAGTTTTAAAAATGCGCCAAGCTGTGGACTGCATCTCTTTATTTTGACTGCATGAAAACATTATCACATGTACATGAAGTGTATTTGATTTTTAAATCTGATCTGCCTTTGCTGTGGTGTACTTTTGTCGTGTTTATGTAACTCGGCTGATGAATATTTGATGTGTCTCTTGTCCCTCGAGATTTTAACAAACCAACCATTTTTCCCCGCTGAATTTTTCATAATCCGCTCGATCGCGGCTTCCAGCCGCAGCGCACCGTGCAGTCCGATTGCACGATCGGCGAGACTGGCGAAAAAAGAAAAAAATCCACCGAGTCAGACTCCGTGTTTCCTCAGCACATACGACAGCCGGCCTGGGATTCCATGATTACATTTAGATTCTAGTCCATTCTCCTCTCTCCCCTCTCTCAGTCTCTCTTGTTACCCGTCGTCTGCCTCTTTATTCCCTCCGTCGAGATGAGCATTCATGGGCGATCGCACATCAAATGCAGGTACTCTGCGGCACGGCTCCCCATGCGTGCCGAGCGAGTAACACTTCCTGCCATCCGGGTATTATCCCTTCCTTTTCTCCCCAGGTGCGTAAAAGCCGTCCACTTAGCCATCCGCGCGTTCTAGACATCCCCCTTCTCTCTCTCTCTCTCTTAAATGCAGCTCCCCGAAAAAAATAAGGGTTTGGTTTGTTCTCCTCATGTATTCATAGCTCTTAAACATCGGGACCCCTTACCGAGCTTTGCCTCGAAATGGCATTACTTACGCTCGTATATTTCTACGCGCTGAAGCCTCCAAATCGAAGTCCAGTGGAAAATTCATGTTTTCCCCTGCTCTCTGTGATTCTATTGGTCTTCTTTACCAGTGCTCTTTACGTCTCAGTCTGTACGAGTAGTCTTCGTTCACAGATGGTGTGCATTTAGCAGTGTGTAGACCACTGGTACCTAATGGAAAATATTCGGCCCTGTTTTCTTTCTGTATGCTGTTGCTCATTTTGTTAATAATTGCTTTCTGTAGTAAGGCTACGTGACTTCAGAAGAAAGGGGTGACTTTGTTCTATGAACATGATTATGATATGTAGATAGTAAAGTGGTAAATATGTACGCAGCAAACTAACGTTTTCCCAACGAATTTATTTTGTTTGTCAAATTGTCATCTTGGGTTCGTAGTTCCCAGTATGCAAATGAAATGATGCACGTAACGTGTTCAAAGGGATGATTTGATCAGGACCGGTTAAGTCGAGACTGGAACAACCTTAGGTAGCTTGTAGGGTAGCGTCTTGTCAAAGTGTTCACAATCATTCTATCATTGTTTCTCGGCAGGATTCACCCAGACGACAACGTCAATTCCAAAGGCCGGCATCGAATCCTCGACCCAGATCCGACCAGGTAGGATCCCTCTAATTTCCCATCCAACTAAAGATCAGAATTCCCATCTCGGATGCTGTCCCATGTGCACCACGGTTACGTATCATCGCGTCACTCCGTTCAAACTCAATCTTTTATTGTCCACCTGACGTTATTCCATGGATTCAAAATTGTTTATCTGGTTTATTCCCCTCCCCCGGTCCACACCCTATAGCCCCTGAGCCAACATCTTCCCCCTTACACACTCAGGGTTTTACCCCTCTCCACCTGTTTCACTCCACCCTCTGTGTACCACCTCCCCCCTTCCCAATTCCACTCCTCTCCCCTCCCTGTCTCCCATTGATTATCCGTCTCCCTGATTTCCCCCTTTTCCGTCCTTCCTTCCTTCCTTCCCATTAATTTCCTCTGCCAGTCGATCGCGTTCTACGTCGCGAGTCATGTGTCGACATGTGGCTGGTATGTGCAGCAGCCTTTGTAAGATAACGTTGCCAGGCACGCATGCACCCAAGTCATTGACCCTCATTGGTCAATTGAACCAGACGGGTTCAAAGAGAACCCCTCCACCCCAAAAAATTAAACAACACAACTAAATCCTGAGCATATCATTGCAAGGGAAGCAGATTTCCATTTATTCTTTGCGCTTTAAATCCCACTAACATCTGTTCAGTGCCTAGAGCGTTTTAAATGTTGGACGTCCAGACTGTTTACAGCCTACCACTGTGTGTGATCTTTTTGTTTCCATTGGTATCGCCGCTGTCTTTGTCAGTGTCATAATCATGTATCGTCTTCATTGTTTTGTTGTTTTGTCGTGAGATTAATCAATTTTCCAGTGTCGTATTTGCATTCCGTCCTTATAACCGTTGCACTCGTCGTTACAGTATGTACCGTCTGTTGATACAATCACCGTCTTTTCTGTCAGTTGTCGTCGTCATTGCGTCTTCTGTTGTCGCTGTCGTTGCCGTATACGGTATGTGTTGTGGTTGGTCTTGCTTTCTTTGTCACTGAAGAAGTAGTCAGTTTCTGGTGACTGTTTGTGCTCTCGATTCCCCATCTTTAATAATCGTTCCTCCCCCACTTTTCCCTTCCTCGGCCACCCTTTCAGCGTCACGACGAGTCTCCCGTCTTGGCCCTCAACGCCAGCTCACTCCCTGACAAATTGATTTTAAAGGTCACTAATGGCATTCGCCAACGCCAACCGCAAGTGCATTTCATTGTGGGCGATTTTCTTCTGCTATAGTGGTTAAGTGCTCTCTGGCGAGGGAAGGGAGCGCGCTTTATATTCGTCAGGCTCAGCGCGTGGTCAGCCGTAATACCTCCTTGTACAGCGGCACACGAGCAATCCAGTCTCCCAACGGACGCTATTTGTGTGGGCTTTTTAGTCACGGGTATTAACCGTTACGTTATTGTCCGCACTTGGTTAAGTCTCGCTAGCTGCTCGATCGAGAACTTTCTTAAACCCCTCAGGATCCTCTCTGAGAACAAACTCTGATCTGCTCGGCCGATCGTCAAGTATATACACACAGGATACAGGAGGAAAAAGATGAAATCGAATCCAATTTGTGAAGAGAATGTTTACAGTTCAAAAAACACAGGAGCCAACAACTGACTGGAATGACATGCGATGCATTAAGCTACCAACAAAGGGTATACCAGGGGTAAACTACTATCAAATACGTAGTGTTCATCCTTATTCCTAAGGATTTCTGGTAGATGAAGTCGCATGGTAAAATGTCATCACCCCCAATCATTTAATATGGTATGCAGCTTCTCAGAAGGCTTTTCGACGCGTTTACTTCCTTCGAAACATTTTGTCATGGTTTCTTAGTCCTGTTGGTGTTTGTAAGTGCGATAGGGAGTGGAAGCTTTTCTGTTGTCTGCAACTGTACCCAGTTTCATGGAGCGTCTGAATAGATGAGGGCAGCAAATTCTATACCAAGCAATCAGCCTCGAATCCGCCGTAAGCAACATATATCAATTTAACGACGTCCGATCAGCTAGCGGCTTTCTGGTGCTCTTTACCCATAGTAAAATATATCGGTGCTGTGCAAGTCCCTGAAATGTGGTCCTTATAGTTATTCATAATACAAAGCGACGAGGGATATTAGCAAGCTGTACTTATCGGGATGCCACAACGGGACGGTATACATTCATGCGGTCATGAAATCCCTCCCGATTAAGGACAGTAACCCTGTGCACTTACGAGCCGATAAGCTGAAACAAATTGTGCTATTCATCCTTCACAACTTCTCACCGATTCACTAAATCCCAAGTACTTACCAGCTCCACCCCCCCCAAAAAAACAATAAGAACCCTGACCGCCAAATAATCCATACCGTTCAGCAGCCAGTGACGTCATTTTTATGCAATATCGATCCCATTGTCTTCCGCCCTGTTCTCATCGGCCTGGACCCCCTGTCAGAGCACCCCTGGATAAATATTTGTCCCCTAGCTTTTTTTTTTTTTACAAACTGCTCCGGAGATCCTGTCATAATCCGGCGTGAGTTCCGGGTTTTAACTCTCCGGGCGCGTGGAATCTTTGACACCGGCGCGTGCCACCACCCTTTGTTAGCCTTTGAACATCTTTACAGCCGATTCGCAAGTCAAACACTTGCTCGCTAATAGGATTGGTGTCCCGTAAGCTTTACTCTCTTTTCCCTGCTCTTTATATTCAAGAACGGGATGTCCCGGTCCCCCAGCCTTTCAGACTAAGCTCGGTCGCTCTATAGCTCACCGTTCAGAGCGATCGGGAGGGTTTAACGATTGTTGCCATCTTAACCGTGAACAAGCAACGACGGTAAACCTTTCTCTCCGGCGTTAAATGCAGTCAACAGTTTGCCAACAAAGGGCGCCGTTCTGTTAACACTCACAAGCCATCACAAGTTTTACAAAGTTTCGACACCGAAATGGGTCTGGGCTATAACTCCACGTTCTCTGGCACTGTTTTCGCAGATCCGTACCAAGTCTTCGGACCCACTAGCAGAACGCTTGCAAATCCAGGTAAGTCTTCCTGTAAAAACATTCGTCTTTCCCCCCAGTTTCGTCTATTTCGTTCGTTCATTTCTCCTTCCAGTCATTTCACACATTATCATTTTGTCCATTATTAGACAACTCAGGCCATCATGTTGGAAATTAGGGAAAGCAGACAAAAATCGAAAGTGTAGGCCCGTTGACGACCTTGTTATGTTATGGGAGCTATGACAAAGGCATAAAAGGCACATTGACTTCAACACGTTCTTTTAATGCAGCATTTCAATGTAGCGTATATTTCCAACATGGTGGATGTGGCATTCTTGAAAAAAATCTCACCACTTCTTCCATTTCTCTTCGTGCTGCTATTTCGTTTCATCGTTCGTAGCTTATGTGAGAGGTGTTTTTGTAGTTTTTAGGGTTTTTTTAAATGGCAGCTGAAATAGGATTTTCATTTGTCTTTTGGCTAATGTTTCCACGGGGATAGGTAAATTCACCTTACGGTCAGGTTTGTTGTCCATACAGCGTTTTTCCATCCACCAATTGGAAAGGTATCGGACAAAATGCCTCGTAAGAAGTGAGAAATGCTCTCTATGAATCGAACCCGCTCTCGAAGTCTTTATTTTTCCTGACGAGGACGACGTTCATTAGCGTCGGGCATACTCTCGAGATACCCAGTCAAACTTTTCATCACAAGAACTGGCGACTTACTCTTGCTTCATCCACAGCTCTGTGTCAGAGCGATGACTGAACAACCACACGGACCCTTTTTACAGTACAAATTAAGGATATACATGAAGGTAGCAAAAATGTTTCATGATGCGGCGGAGGATGAAGAAATGGCGGGGAAGTTGAGTGAGGTTGGCATTAATTTGGGCGGCAAAGAGAAAAGGAAAGAAAGGCCTTGTAGCTCGGAAGCACGGCTGGCTAGCTGATGATGTTTGCAGAGCTATACTGCGGGGCCGGAGGGGTCGAAAGCGCGGCACAATCTGAGCCTAGACTTTGTTCATTTCTGTCATGACCGTAAAGGTGCAAATTTCCGGGGGGGGGGTGATAAAGGAAAGCGAGGTTGTGGCCTGTTTTAAATTACTCTGAAACAGGCACAATTAAATTTTCTTTGATAGAGTTAATATGTGAGGTCGGTCGTTCCTCTGTACACGTGAAGCTGATAGTCCCGTGGTCACAGACGTTCTGCAGCAAATTTCCTGGGAAACGGGGGAGGGGGTAGTTTTCGACAGTAAGTTTTATTAGACGTTAAGAGTCAGATGCTGTGATCGATGCGTTTGTATGACGTCGGATGAAGCTTAAAGACAGGTTTGGGGTCGCTGTCGTCTCGAAAGAAGTTGTCCAACACCCTAAAGGCTTTCAATATCCCGATAACGGAATAGTTGTTCCAGGGGAAATGGCGACATAATGGCGAAAATGTAATTTTGTGTGGGGTGTAATGTCGGCCTCCGGTCTTTCTTCATTATTTTCCGCCGCCTAGACAATTCGCGGTCGGCTGTTCGGAAGACAAATGAAGATGATGGTGTCATGAGCCAATATTGCAACCGCCGTCGCTTTGCTGTCAGTGTAACCTTGTTTTCTTTCAAATTACAAATATAAACGGTGATAGAAAAACCAATTACACAACCTTGGAATGTTCTCAGAACTTAATTTCGGGACTGAGTTTGCCCATTTCTCTCGTCACGCAAACAATGCACCAAGTTTTAATCAGCCATGTCTTAGGACGATTTGCAGCCTTTTCCCAGTGTTTCCGTTATCAAATAGGACAATATGCAATGGTTAGATTTTTTGCTCTTGATGAAGGAATAAGGCCTACCTGCTGGTTGTTTTCCGGTATTGGGGGAGTTATTGCTTTGGCGAGGCTGTCTGTTCCAGATCTATTTTATAGGAAACAGCCATTTGTCTCTTCGGGATTCCGAGTAGCAGGAATGTCATTACGTAGTTCTAAATTGGACATGAATTAATTAATTTAATTCAGGTTGCTTTGCATCTAAAACTTTGAATGTTTTTTTTTTTTCGCTGTTTTGGTCTCTTCTGACCTTGTACGGTTTGACTACATGTGTGAAAAGAACATGCGAGCAGCGCTAGACCTTGTTAAGACGACAGGTATACTGCTGATATCCTGTGAGTCTGGAAAAGAGACTGCACAGGCGCAAAAGGGAAACAAAAATTGAGTCGGGTAGTGGATGCAAATGTACAGTGAGTCACCAACTCCCCAACCAAATGCTTATCCGCGGCCCAGCAGACCGACGGCAATATTGGCGTCAAGTAGCGTGCGCTAGGCGAGGTACCAGGCCTGTAGTGGCCACTCGACCGTCTTAAGTTACCGCACGATGGGCTGTCTAGCACCCGTGCCGCGGTCTTCTCATCGCCGGGTTAACCGGCCGATTTGCCCGGGGGCGAGGGGTGACTTTACACCGAAAGCGGTCCCGGCCACTCGCTGCTATCTCTGCGCGGGTACATTGTGAAGCGCTCGGTCTTTCTCCCTCGATGTACCGTATGCATCATTGGTCGTGACTTTAAACTGTGATTATCAAGTTCACTAATCGACTGAAAGGCAGTGAGATCATTTTAAACGACGGCTTTGTCGGCTCATTCGTAGTCATCCGAGCGAGAAAGAGAGAGAAAAAAGGAGAGGACCTTTCTAAAATGGCGACCCGCGTAAGGTGATCTCTATCAGTTGATGTGGATCATATAATGTCCTTATGGTGACTCTGTTTTGGGGAGGTCCTACAATCAAACACAGACATTCTCTTTGGAATGTTTTTCTTCCCGTCTTCATGTAAAAGTAAACTAATAGCTCATTTCAAATCAGCATCAACTCATTGGTATTTGAATCGTTAATCTTGAACTCGTTTTGGCTTATTACACAAAAGCGCACATAAGATGATCTTTGCATGGTAAAAAAACGAAGTCCTAAGTCTGGGTGAATTCACAAGAATATCCTTCTGTACTTTAAAGCCGTATACGCTCAGCTTTGTCATCAATCACACGAGTGGCTCCATTCCACTACAGAGGAAGACTGGAGTACTTAATAATCAATATAATTACCTGTATTCAATAGCGTCGCTGGCAAATCCCCAAACTCCAAAAACAATCTCTACGATGTTATAGCGCCCCCAATTATCGCTGACACATTTGCTGTCGCCGGATGAACCCAATTTTTACAAACGTTTACAAAAAGCTAATGGTGTAACGAATGTTTCAACTTCGAACCCATACTTAAATCTTATCCGGGGCAAAGTTGTGCGTTACTTTATAAGCTCAAAACGCCAATCAGTGAGGTCCAACGAACTTGCTCTTGCTGCTATTTAATTTATTTGGATTTTCTTGTTCTATTTGCTACTTGTTTCCTTCACTTAATTCAATGCTCTGGGTGGGATCTTTGCCAGAGGTCTTTCTCCCTCTCGAGAACAAAGTCGGTGTATGTTTTGGGGGTGATAATGTTATTTTGCACGAACACGTGTTCGGACGATATTTCAGTGATACTACCGATTGAATGTCGTCTAATGAAGTTGGAAATGAGATCCTGCGAATGCGGAACGGAAAGTACGGATCTGAAAATTATTTGGCGGAGACTGTTTCATTGTATGCGCCGTGATAGGTAAAGAGGGAGGCAGATGTGATTCAAGCTGCAAGCTTTGGCAATGCAAAGACACACCATGAAGCATATTCAGGCGGGAAAGTTGGTTGCCCTTTCCCGACTTTGTCTGGGGCTGGGCTGGCGCTATTTCGCGGCAGTTTGTACGTGAGTCAGTGAATAAGTGGCCAGCCCGAATGCGGATATCTCTACCGAATGCCCTGTCCCCATGCTAAATTAACTATTAGTTGATTAATTTCGTATTTTCCATGAGTGTCGAGTTTCCCGTCTTCTCGGGGATACCATTGAACAGTTTTTACAATACCTTCTATCGCAAAGCCACAATGGCCACAAAGGGCCCAGAAGATATTGATACAAGAAGAACGCGAGAAGACGTAGAAGAAAAAAAACATCATTTCAAAAGGACTTTGCACGAGTGCTGTACAGAAACGATGGGAGTTACCCTGGAGGATTGTTATACACAAGAAAAGGAAAACATTCGAAATTAAATGGCCGCGTGATAGAGAACCGTCGGTTGATGCAGAATTGGACTGAATGAAAAATCTAGTCTTTGTTGAAGTAAAAAAGTACGACGATATTTTCAGGGGAATTCGAGTGAACAAATGAAGTTTTCTAGTAGCGGTGTAGGGACAAGAGCGAGAGCTGGAAATTCGTTGTGAGTTCGACATTTCCGCCCGTCGGAGTTCACCACGCCGACTAAAAAGAGAAGCGTTTCGCTTTTCCCTACAAGTGTTTTTATCAGAAAGCGTATACTGACAGGCCACAGGCTAGGACGAGAAGGGAGAACATTGAAAGATGAACGTGTTTGGACGAAGTTGAGATTGTGAGGGGTTTGGTTACCGTTTGGGATCGCAGCGCTGAGAATTCGTTAACGCCAACTCGGCCCGGAGCACGCTCGCCGCGGATGGCCGACCGGACCGTCCATCTATCTCCCCCGGACGCGGAGAGGGGAAAACATCGTGCTCGCGTATCGTGTTCCACGGAAGGACGGCGATGGGCAACAGTGATGAGGTTACATGTGCGGATGACACTGCCCTGTCATTCTTGTGCGTGTGGATTTGGAGTGGCTGTAGAATCAATACCATGCTAGGATTATTGAAAAACCACATCGAATTTCTAGGGTATTTCTGTGGCAAGTCCACTGGAAAAAGGACACACTTTACAATCATATTTCACAGTCAGCGCACAAGCGATGGAGATGGTTTACAATGGAGTACTTTTTAATTTGCTATGATAAAATCTGACATGGTGATAAGACCTGAATTCGGGGCAAAAGGTGAATAGGAATGTAGGTTTGAATTTTGAAACAACTGCCTTTTCAAAATCAACATTTGCAGATCATCGAATGTTTTCTTTGGTTAAATTCTTTTCTTTTCTGCGGACTTTTCTGCAGAAGTGTCGGCTAGCCTCTAGATCAATCCGCTAATGGTGACTGCATTCCCAGTCTGGTGACGTAGACTTTCCTGCGCACATAAATCAAAATGGGTGAACGGAAGGCCACGCACCGAGATAGTCCAGTACCCACACCGAGATTGCATCGATCGTAATTCTATCCTCATAATTACACTTGAGATTTCAACTTCATCTTCCATAAACTTGTAACCAGACTCAAATGAGTTATCTAAAGTTGAATGCACTGCTTTACGGATCTTGTCTCTTTTACATATACCAAAATGGGTTGATAGAATTCCATTATAAACATGCCAAAATTTAATTATTTTGGAGATGTCTGTCGGCACAAGAACGGGGAATCGAGCCTCACTTCACAACATTTGGAAGTCTTCTCTGACCACTCCAGGTATCTTAGGTGAACACACCACGGAAGGTATCCGAAAAGTATCCCACCATCCCACGGAAACGTAAAAGGAACGCATGACCATCTCAATATTGACCTCGGCACCATGTTGGTTGAATTCCTCACGCTTTTCAGCTGTGATACTACAAACACACAATTCAGATGCGTTGAGCAGAGAAACATGGGTGGGGGGCAGCAAAGCGATTGGAAATCGAATCACTGCCTTGTTGTGAGACTGCATTATCTTCAATTATTCCCGCCCCGACGGGTTGGGATAATGTGATTTATGCCACTAACTCGATCTGTTCCAATAGCCGTTGTCCTTCATACCATAAGTCAGACTGTGCGTAGAACGTATATCGTATCTCGGCGAAGAGCAACAGGAATTGTTTTGTGATTGAAATGGCTCGTGTCTGATTTTCAAAAAGATGTTTCTGCAACACTGGCAAAGTGACTTGATGATGTTGTTGTACATTGTCGGTTTTATCTAGGGGTCGTCTTTCCTGGTGTGTGTGGTTTTTTTTTTAAAAGAAAAAAGGGTGGACGAACAGTTTAGTCTACATGTAGGCCTAAAAGGAGCTCGTTTTAAAAACAGTTGCCTGTTTGAGGACTTTGCCACTAACTGAAGGGACAGAAAAGAGAAGACTAGACGTCTAAAAATGACACGGGGATGGGACGCCAACGTGCGGTAGGCGATTCCAAGCTTCATTTCTTGGTTTTATTTTATTCGGTTAGGAGAGGGGAAAAAATCTTCCCCCACTTAATCGCCATCTTAAAAGGCAACCTTAGCCCCGACGTCGTTAATGGACCCGAATACTATACGGTGTGTGCGTGACTCCAGATAATGCGATTTTGATTTCGGGGCCCAGTTACCTGGAGGGCCGAACGTGTACAACCCGCCGACCACGCGCATGTTCAGTGGCGCGCGCGATTGAGCTGGAGAGAGCCGGGCAGTTCCAGCAATCAGTGGGCGCCAAAAAAAAAAAAAAGAAATACATCGGCGGAGTGCGGCGGGAGTTAAGAAAAAAACCGTGTCAAAATAAAAGAAGCTTTAATGGATTTTATCTGTGTAGGCGCTGTGGGGGATTATAGATGTTGTTTCACGTCTCTCTGCACAAGAAAGAGGTGGCGAATTCAATATAATATATAGCTGGGTATATGAGCAAGCGAAAATGGCTGATGTGTTTGCTTCAAATCTCTTATATTTGAGCATGGTACACCCCGTATAATCAGTCAGCTTCGATTTCAGCTTTGGCACTGTAGTGCTTTATTGCATATGCTATAATTTTGAGGGTCTGCGTTCCTTATGTGTTTGTTTGTTAGTTCTTTATGTTTAGGGTCGGTAAGTCGGATGACTCCTGACTGGCTTACAGCAGTATGGTGATAACATGTCGCTAGTAGGTTGCAATTCTAATCTTCTCATTCACCCAAACCCTTGCATCTATCCTGGTTTGAAGGCCGTTTTCTTCCCGGCTTCGTTTTCTCTCATTTAAATTTGAGTGTCCGTGTTTCGATGGCAAAAAGTGCTTGAGTCAAGCTCCTGTGGATTTGAAAATGAAAAGTACCCGTCTGTCTACACTGAGCGAAAAAGCGGCTAAAGAAAACCCACGCTGCCTTGTAAAATGCGTTCCGCGCCTCTCTTTGGCCGTCTCTTACTTGATGTCTGAGTCTTTGATCAACGTTATCGTCCCATTTCTGCTTTTACCTTGGCCTGATACCCCAGCATCGCTGTGATGGATGACTTGGGAATACGTGACTCCAATAATCACGATCAGACTGAGGTCTCCTTAATTAACTCTGGTTCCAGTCTCCAAGTCCCGAACACCACTCTCTCTGTCTCTCTATCTCGGGGAAAGAAAGAGCAGAGAAGATTTTTTTTAAATGCTAAGAGTCAATATCAACGAGCCACGGCCGGCGCGGGTAGGAAAACATAACATCAGCCAATTTGCGTGCGCGCGTGTGTTGTGCATACATTACACATGACTGCGTCATTTTGTGGACGCACGGTTATAGGTTTTTTTCGGGGAATGTAATTATCGGTTGTCGTGAACGGCTTTCTCCATTATTGTCCTGCTGTTGACTCTGTGAAGCCGGGATACATGACGACCGATAAAAGATCCCCGACTGAAATGTTAAATTCATTTCTATGATCAACATAGCGCTGCGCGTGTACCGAGCGACTCTTTTTAATGAAGATATCAAGTTGCACTTATTTGATACTTTTTTGTTTCTGCTTTACAGTGCAATTCTCTTGGATAGAATCGTAGGAAATGTTATGTGATGTTGTTCACATCAGATTTTATTACATTCTTCAATAAAGCTTTTTCATAAACACGTTAACGCTTTCCACACTGTAATATGGGCTGGAAAATTAACCAGTCAGTGGGAGAGTTTGAAGATGAGACTCTTGGTGGGGACAAACGTATCGGTTTCATGTTACCGCTCCACTTCGAGGTGTCATTAGAAATGTTTGCCGCCACCCAGCGTCTCATAATGTCTTCCATTCTTTGGTGATCAATTAATGGGCTCTTTTGGTGAGACTGAAAAACAAAATCAGTACAACGGTGAAATTTCTTTGGTTTGTCGTAATGCAAAGTTGGCACAGTTCCTGGTATTCTTTCAGAAGTCTTCAATATTTATTTAACAGTTTATGGACATTTTTATCAAGCCAAATCCTTTGCTGATTTGACGAACTTGCATTGGGATGAACGGCTTTTGAAACTTGTGACCCCACGTATTCAGCAGTGCGGGATTCATCTCGCTTTCATATGATGCCGTCTAAAATAGCGAAAATAAGTTATTTTCTTTCGCCAGAATTACCAATGAGTGTGTGTGTGTTTTTAAGATTTGTTTTTGACTTCTTCTGGTCGCTGGTGCACTTGCAAATCCTCTGGAAAATCGGTTTACGAAGTTGAAAGGAGTTTATAAGACTCGTTGTTCCGAACGTGCACTCACTCTCTCCTTGTAGCGACAAGAAAATCAAACCATCGAATGAAACTTAACACCTATGTGCGTACAAGACAGAAATGACAAACGACACACGGGGTGCAATGCAATGCAAAGGCAGGGGAATACAGGCAACGTGCACATCACGGACTGTAAACTTGAGGAGATCTCAACATGTCTGTAATATCATCTCCCACCTTTCGTTTTTCAATTACCCGGTTTGGTTTGGCAGTCAGGTTTAGATCCATTCTTCCAGGTTACAGAGCACCTCTAGTTTTTTTGTTTAATCTATTACCGTAATCCCCCCCCCACTTTTTTCCCTTTTCCAAACGTGACTCCTTACGTTTGACTTTTTTCCTCTTTTCCCCGCGCTCGATCGATTCCGTACAAGCGGCCGTAATTCTAATGTTACCGGCCGCTAAGGCGGCGAGAATCAATCAGACTCAAGCTTGACAGACGGAATATCTTGTCCATCCTGTTTTATCCGCCAACTTTTACCCTCTCGCTGTAACTTCGAACTTGTATTTCAAGTCGAATTTGCTGCCAACCGTCGAGTGATAGGCCTGTCAGTTTCTGAAGGGATAGGTGTCTGCGTGTGCTAACGGTTGTCCTTGCCTTTTCTGTGCATGCAGTTCATTCCACTTCATGTCATTCATTTCTTTCCATTCAGTGTTGTTTGTCCTCCATTCTTGTGCCCTGGCAATGACGTCATTTGACGCAATGAATTATGGGAAATATCAGTCCATTGTCTTGAAATCAACACGATGACTAATCCTACCCAGTACTAATAAACATATACCCATCCATCTAATGTCAACGAGTCAGTTGAAAAAAACCACTAACACATTCTTTTGGTTAGAAAGTCATGCATAACGATCCTTGATTCTTCCCAAAAAAGAAGAAATGCCAAACCACACTGATTAATTTTTGAATAATTTTGGAATGACTTTTGAATTTGCGACCAATTATTGAAGAGAAAATTCGGTATTTTTTCGCCTCATGCAGAAAACCCAGCAAGCAGCTTAGGAGGACATGTCTGGAACCGTAAGCATTTTTCCAAATTCTTGTCATTATCATTAATTCTTTTTAAAAGTTGGAGCCGAGCCCTGCCCCGAATCTACGGATATTTCCCATAATATATTGCTGAGAAATAAAGACGGTTAATGACCCAGGTGAATGTCTGTGCCTATAGTGCAAGAAAACGTGTAGATGATGTAAATTTGTGTGAACAGTTTGTGAAACCTAGAAAGCACTATATCCTCTGGTAATATATGGCTTGTATTCTTTCCATCCAGTGCCTCAAATGTCGGCACGGTTTGTTTCAAGAGTTCTTACTATTAGAGGTGCATTTATTTTCATTCTTTTGTGCCAAGTATTGTAAAACTTGCACCACAAAACACATCAATATTAATAAAATGCGGTTGTTTCCGTTGAAAAGTGTTTAATGTATTCGGAATGCACCAGAACGGTACTCTACATTAATCATGAATTGCTTAAAGTTTTTGCTGAGCACGACCCATGATAAAATCAGACGTGCAATTTCAGACCAGTCCAGGCTGTTATTAAGTGATCTGCACCGGGACAGGTTCTTGGTAATGGCCAACGCATGGCCCTGGCGACGGACAAGGCAACATCTTAAGCGCCAGTTATTTGAGAGAGTAGTCCGTGGAGACACTGTTACCGCGGCGGCACCGCATTCACGCGCGCGTTCTCAAGTTTGGGGCGCCCGCTCTTTGGCAAATCAGGACACCTTTGTGGTTTAAAAAGCACGTAATGCGTGCGCAACACCTGCCTAAGATCGTATATCGGCCCATTGCTATAATGGCTGCTTAGTCTGATTATGGTCTATACACAGTGAAAACGCTGCTCATTTTTGTTTCCTACACAGGTAAATCGGTGAACTGTTTGGCACAGTTTACCCGACCTTGATGATTTTTCTCCTGATACAATGAGCAAATGTTTCTCATTTTTACTCACCGACTGTAGAAAGTCTTGTTTGCACATTTTTTTTTCATTCACCTAGTTCTCTGTGTTTTTACACTGTAGTTGGCAGACTATGCCTCCTCCTTGCCCGAGCAGTAACGTTATTCCTGTGTGCTTTCTTTAATACATGTGCAGGGAGTGGGCAGATCCAACTGTGGCAGTTTCTGTTGGAACTCTTGTCCGACAGCTCCAACGCCAACTGCATCACGTGGGAGGGCACCAACGGCGAGTTCAAGATGACGGACCCAGACGAGGTGGCCCGCCGCTGGGGCGAGCGAAAGAGCAAGCCCAACATGAACTACGACAAGCTGAGCCGCGCCCTCCGCTACTACTACGACAAGAACATTATGACCAAGGTCCATGGCAAGCGCTACGCCTACAAGTTCGATTTCGCCGGCCTGGCCCAGGCCATGCAGCCGGTACAGGCTGATCCGAGCGTCTACCGCTACCAGTCGGACTTGAGCTACCTGGCCCAAGGCTACCATCATCCCAGCAAGATCAACTTTGTGGGCACACCCATCCCTTCGACCAATGCAGGTCTCTTCAGCTCCCATGGCTCCTATTGGTCATCGCCCAGCGCCGCCAATATCTACCCGAGCAGTCACGTGGCACATCCGCACAGTCACGTGTCACCGCACATAGGGACCTATTACGGGTAGATGATGGCGGAGTTCTGTTCTGACTGACACATTTGAAAAGTGCCATGGTTGTAAAATGTCGAACATCGATGATACAAATGTAACAACTTACTCCAATCTGTTTGATTTAGAGGGTGTCTTCTTCCGAGGATTATTGGTAGCCGCTGAAGTTGCGGTCAAGGGTTAACAAAACTGATGCAAGATATTACCAGGTCGACAAAGTTACTTGGCATAATATTCATCGAGCAACATTGATCTAAACCATTGAGAAAATCGCTAGTTTTGTAAAATCATAATGGAGTGTATTTCACTGAAAATCACAACAGTATACAGATGTCATTTTCTAGAGGCCTAAAAACAGGTCTTAATATGCATGCTGGGGTTTTACTTTCTTTGAAAAAAAATCATGAGACTCGGGTTTTAAAGGCAACGAAGTATAATTTATTTATCGGTAGTTCCAGATCGCAAATCAATGTAAATTTCCATGATGGCTTCCTGAAACGGCGCTTCGTGTTAAAAAAAAACCAGTGGAATTTACCATCCTGACGAAAAAAGCGATCGATGAAAATTGGCCAACATAGTATCTCTCGGCATCTCTACTTACTTTTTGTTTGGTTTCCTTTTCTTCAACATCTATCGATGTAATCTACTTGTCATTTTGCTAGTAAGGTGTGCCTTGCGCATCAGCCGTCTTTCTTTGCTTCCCGGGATGGATCGGTTGACTCATTAAGATCGTCGCTAACCGGCCGAGGCAAAATGCGACCGGCGATACCGACCCAGACGAACCTTAATCAGTCTGGCGCCAGAGAGACGAACCGTTGGACGCCGGAATCCCCGCGCAACTAGTACGTTCCTCCAACTACAGAAGAATAAAAGAGAAGAAAGCTTTTTACAGATTTATCTGTATTATTCTATTCAGTTTTGAGGTCATTTATTTTAATTTCAGAATGATTTCCCCGTTTTCTGCCGCTCGAAGCCACGTCAGGTCTGTTGAGAATAGAAATGTCTTCGTCTTGGTGGAGATTTTTTTTAAGTGAAATGTTGTTGGAACTTATGTCGGCAGCTGTGCGCATTTAAAAGCTGTTACGCAGGCGCAGGTCAGAATGGTACAACATGGAGCAACATGTTGCTACTTGGTAAAGGTTAAACGATTATGTGTCGCATTTCACTTCGGCAGAAATATCTGTTGGCGTTGTAAACCAGTTGGGTAGAAGAAAAAGGAACTCCAAATCGATCAGCAAAGATACGTCACAGTTGAGTGAGTTTCGTATCCTGAAATCACCTGTAAACGTAACTCAACTGGAACAGTGCTCCATATGCCATGCACACTTGGTTGCTTGGCAGAAGCGATACTAGATACCATAACGTTTCTCACGGCCACTCGTACACCCTTAAATTGACTTTGTCGCTGACGTACGATCCACAAGCACTTTTTCCTCAGTCGAACATGAGCAAAGCTTATATGCCACTTGGTATTAGATCGACTTTTACCTATACCGTCATATCGGGCCATTATTTTCGATGTGTGTGAAGGGGTTTAGAGGACCGTCAAATATTAACGTTATATTGAAATAAATCGGATGAGAAGGTTTTCCACGTTTTCCCGTAGGAATTCCATTTGTTTTGTACATTCCAAGATATTGCTCAACGTTTCAACGAGCACCACAGATGGTGACATAGCTTCGTGGCTTGTACCGTGCGTGCATTACCAAGCGGGTATCATGCGGAACCAGCCGAATACTTCTAAGGAGCCGTCCCATGATTCAGTGCGCGTGAACTGGAGCTTTGTGTGTAAATAACCGACAGAGACAGATAAAAGCTCTTAACATTCCATTTAAAGGCATGTATTACTTTGCAAATGAGAGGACTTATCCACACAGTGGTAAGGTTAAGCAATCGACACGGAACTGGTATCCATTGCCTCGGGAAAGGAGACACCATCGCGGTCGTGTCTGACTCATTTGGCTGCGGCTACACGTAACGCACGAGTCTGTGGAAAATGGGTGCAGCCACGAGCTTGCGGCTGCAACAGGGATGGCATTTTTGCTAGCCGCAGCCAAGTCATTTTGGACGCGTTCTAAATCGAAAGACTGAATATTGAAAAGTAAAGATTCAACTTGAACCATTGCACGAGGTTGAACGTCTTTGATGTCTCCTATGGCTATCCCATAGGTTGTTTGTGTGGAATAGCTGTTGTTCTCGTCATTTGGGAATTGCAAACTGCCTGTAACAATAATCATCAGTCAACCATTCCACGTTTTCAGTCAAATACAAATCCTGCTCCAGTGTTTTTTTTCTCCAGTTTTCGCCTCGTACAACCTGACCCCGCTTGAGATTTATATCTTCTTCTTTTTTGCTGATTTTGCGAATGTGTACATTTTTGTTGTCAGGTCAGGGACACGCAAGACCTCATTTAATTTTCAGGCTTTTGTTTTATTTACTTTCTATGTGTAAAATACGATTGTTCTTTCTCAAGAAAAGCCGGATAAAAGGTCAGGAAAAAAAGCGGTGCCTAAAACATTGTGCAATGCCATATGTTACCGATTACGACAGAAAATCTTGTAAATAGATATTTTAGAACCTCTTTTAACGTGTATCTGTAACCTATATTTTATAGTTCTATTGCTCACACGGCTCGTGAATACTTCTTACAAAGTTATTTTTGTGCAGCACATCCCTTGCTATTTATTATTTAAATAGAATATAGATACTGAGTGAATACTTTTTAAGTTATGATTATTTTTCGTATTGCAGTTGGCTGTGCCAATTTTGGGGGACTCTCATAAGCATTTCTCTAGAGGATATTTTAGACATACTGGTGACAACAGTTGCGTGGCGCGTATAGAATGACCACGTGATACTTGTTTCGGTTAGATTTGTCCCATGCTACGTTTTGGTTTGTATTTCTGTTCGAACTTTTGCTAAAAGCATTAAATCTTGTTTGAATAAGTACGGGTATATTTCTAAACAAGACAGGCAATTTTGGAGCGCCACCTGGTACGCTATGTTGAGTTAGTTTTTGTCAAATTTCTTTCAAGAAGTGTATAATTGTAGATAATGAAAGATGTCATGATTGTGTGCTACATTCCAAACTTATGAAATGTTACGTTCCTACATAAAGAAATGAGTATTGAAATCTGGGGAAAATCTTTCCTTTTCTTTGGTCTGAATTTTATTTTATTGCAATAATGTACACATAGGCGGACACTTTATGTTTAATTTCAAGATTCCATTACGTCATTGCGCTGTCATCGAAGAAGTGACGAAGCGGAAAACACCGTGATAGTTTTATTTGAATAATCTTTCTAAAACGTCGACTTTAATATCGTTTCCAGCTTAATTAACCCTTTGTGTAATGTAACGTAGAACTTTTTAGAAATTAGAAGCCTAACATTTGATGTACATTGATTGAATGGACTGATTGGATGAGGGGTCAGTCAGCCTGGATACTTAAAGGAATCAATTGAAATGAATAATATATTAGTCTATAGCAAACTTTTTACTCCGCAATACCGAGATAACGAGAGGCGGCATTCTGTGAAAAGCCGTCTACTTTTGTATCTTTGTAAATATTGTTTGAAAAATCCTTTTTTACTAGTATTTTGAAAAGATGGCCTGACTTCACTTTTGCGTGCAGTCGTAGGCTTTTTCTCAAGACGCTAGAATGAATTGAAAACAAAAAAAGAATAGCACTTGATAATTTATTGCTGTTGTATAGTTTTATGGTGAATCAGGTATGAGTCGAAGTTGCCAGCGGAATGAGTTGCAAGGAAACGTCTATGAAATAAAGACACCGCCCGGTTATATGTCGTTAACAGTGCACCACAGTTTTACATCATAGCAGACCCCTTAGATAGTTACTGAGAGTGCATCTCTTTTTCATCACGTGGTCATCGTGAACATTCCTCATGAAACATGAGTGGTTTGTGTCACTCTATTGCCGCACCTGAGAAGCATGGTGAGGCATCAAGCCCACTTACGAGTCAAATTGACCACTCCCCCGTTGCTGGCAAGACCCACTTCGAATCATATACCTCCATTTTCACTGAAATCAAGTGTCTGTTAAAGTTTAGAGAATTTAGCTGAAAAGATAAATATATACTAATATAATGATAGTTATGTTCTGATCACGTTGATTTTTCTTACATTCCAGACTGTATAAAAAAACACTCCTACGAATTATTATCTTACCTTAATTGAGTTTTGCTGTAAATGTTTGTGTTTATTATAGGACCAAACTATCATGAATCGGTGTGTTTAGGTTGAGCACCTTTGAGCTTGTATAAAGCTAGGGACGGTTGACATTACAAAAATAAATAAACGAATACAGAGAAAATTTCTGGAGCTTCATTGTGCGAGACGTTGAAGGTGAAAATTATTTTAACTGTCTCTCAGCCACTTGGCTTGTAGTTATTTTTAGAATTTTCTCCAAACTGAGACATATCAGGGGTGGAAATTTGAAAGGCCTTGTTTTCAATATTATGTCAGCTATCCTTGTCCACCGTAATTTGTTTGGCACCGTTTTGGACTCTCAACTATTTTGTCTCATACACCTTTAAAACTACAACGATTTTATGTCTTGCACATACAGTTTTTCCAATCAGATCGAAATTAGTTTGTAAGCCAGTTCCACATTGGGGACTCCTAAAGTCGCTCAGCTACATCCGGCAAATAAGAGCGCATTTTGTTGATTCATCTTGTATTAAAAATCACAGCAAATCCAATATACATGTTATCGTCGTTGTCCACAGAAGGGGGGTATCATCATTAAGTGGATGCTTTTATTTTAAAACATTTTTGGGGTAACCTTTTTGGGGTATTTTTAAAATTAAAGGCAGTCATCATGCCTAACATTTTTCTCCCTAGAATATCGAAACACTTTCTCACTATTTCTTTAGATTTACATGTTGATCATATTCATGTGAAATCCATATGATGTAGATGCATTTATTACCTATTTAATAATAACACAGACATAAGAACTGTTGAATAATTAACTAACCTTTATAATAGAAGGTTCAAACATTCATGTTGTGTTCTCACATTCGAGGAATAATGATTTTCAATTATTTTTTTTTAATTCACACAAGAGTAATTGCCAACTCCCCGGGAGTAAATGGCACCGGTTTCAGCGGCGCCTGCAACACAATCGATTAAATTATCCCTCTTGCCGTTTTGAGAACGTAACCACAACAAACAGCCCAAAAATGTGTCTGATTGCCAACAAAAACACCTGTTTTCGGAGGGGAGGGGAATGGAGCAGGCCATTAGCGCCCACAATAGGATATCACCTCGAAATGCGCTCAATTAAGGACGGCCACACAGTCGATAAGCAGTGCGAGTGAAGAAAAAAATGGGCGGCAGAGTGCAGCGCGACCCCGCGGTGACAATAGCCCGTCCAACCGGTCGGCGCTGGCGGGAGCGCGCGGTAGACCGCCTACCTGCCGGTGCTGGGCCCGAACACAATCCGTCATTTCGTATCATGATGCATATCACGCCCCGGGCGCAATTTCTCTGCTGTGCCCTTCTCTCTCTCACACACACACTCAGTCTTTACTCTTCTGCCACGGATTTATGTTCCTCAACTTCTTCATCTTCCATTTTTTTTAAGCGGTGGGCAAGACTTTTTTCCTTAATTTTATTGCAATCTGATCCGGATACCTAAGATATTCAATTATGCGAGCCCGCCGGAGTCCGACCGAACACGGAGGGTTGTCTTTCAAAGCCTCACGGGCCCCCTGCTTCAAGATAGGTGACGACCGTCCACGCACTTGTTCAATTGCTGATATTAAATGCAATAACATGATATCTCTTGGTCTCTGTAGGCAGTGGGCCTACAGCTATTATGGACTTCACCTCGTGCTCAGCCTGTGCACAGACACACAATATTTCTTCCCTCTCTCTCTCTCGCGGAAGGTTTGTGGATTTTTTTTTTCTTTTCTGGTTATAAATTTGAAGAGCTACAGAACCCGTCAGAGAGGGTATGCTTCTTGCCCGAGTTTCATTTCTTTGACTGGGGCGTTAGTCATTCATTGAGCTGAACATTTTATGGGTTTACACCAGGTGTTTGCTTTTATGATGAGATTAAGAAAACAAACAGGACGTGCAAGTAATATTGCGGGCCTCTAACAGTATGTAACAGAATTCAACAATATTTCCAACGTCTGAGGTTGTGATCGAAACGTAACAGAGAATGAGATCCTTTGCCTATAGGCCTTGTAAAATCCAACGCAAGTCGCCATCTCGAATAGTTACCACTGTTATGGTTTACGTGACTTTTGAGTGCCAAACCTGAAAGTAACACCTTGGGTGTAAATCCATGCCCAAATCCTACACCCCTTCCCTTTTGACCGGGGACTTAGCTGTTTGGCTATCCCCCAGACGCACAAGTTCGTGGTGAGAAAAAGGCAGATTTTGAGGTATATGCATTTCCGAACTTCCTAACAACTGAAATGTATGCAACAGAGCTAAAAAGGGACGAAGAGTACAAGAATTTTCAATATGGTGTTTTGATGTAAGGTTCATGGATGTAAGTATACATGAAAAGCCATATTAGCTGTATCGTAAACAGCGCCCCCAGCGTATGTGGTGTCCAGCAATCCCCCCCCCCGCACACACCTTGTGAATATCCACGGCCATGCAATTTCTTTTCGTGTAAGTCGTCCACCATCCCCCGTTCCTTGCACGGATTCAAACCACAAGTATGGTGACAGGTTAAACCCGATACGAAAAAAACATCAGCGCTATGATGTTTGCTTGTGGAGACGACAAATATGGAAATGGTTATGATGATATCGAAATAATTCTGGGTGTTCACCGAACTGAGTCTCCTTATTTTTGAGTGTTTTGTATTATGCAGTAACCCCCAGAAAGGCAATCGAAGCAAAGACCATGGAGAAAAAAAACATGCCACCGAAGTAGCTCTAGTCATAGTTCACATGCAGGAGAGGATGCAAGATAGTTTGCCGGGGTATTTTTTATTTTTTTTACAGGGAAAGGGGAAGGGAAGGGGTTTACTACATGTACTTGTCACTGTGGTGAAGTTATTTAATCTCTTGGTTCTGTCCTTAACTGTCAACATGCAACACAAGACTTTTAAATGGTTCATGCTTTTTATGGGGTCTTTTAACTTTTAAACGTAGGGAAGTCGACCCCTTAACGTGGCAATGAGCACGGGGCACCAACTGTATACCTTTAGATCTGCGACCAACATGCTCTCATGACCTCCCCGTAGGTCAGTCAATGGCCAGTTTGTCCTGAGAGCTGGTTGATTCCATGTAGTTACATAATATCTTTTTCATTTTTATCTTTATTTTTCTTGTTGTGGGCATTCCAAATCAGCCTTTCAAACTGACCCCTGTAACTCTGACGTGTCGCGGCCGAAGCAGAGTTGAACTCTGTCCGTGTAGCCTGACCTTGTGGCCCTTGACGATCTGTGCCCAGACCGACACGAGCAAGTCAGTTTCTTGGATAGTACTGTTTTGTTTCCATCATCGGCTACGGCTAGTCAGTGCATCGCGTTATTGGCGACATAACCTAAGCTGTAACTTGAACATGGAAGGTACTGATACGGCTTGGCTAGCTAGGTTAACGTTGACTAGTCACGAGGCCGATGGATGGAAACAGGCACAAGGCAAAATCTTTGAGAAGAACATTGTCATACCGTCATCCTGTGTTTAAAGAAACCGGAGAAACCAGATAGAGTCATGCGTAAGAAACATCATGGACGTAACTTCTTTTCTCGAACGAAATCCCATTTTACGTTCTGATTTCTAGACGTCAAAGATGGCGAGATGTCACTGCCATTTCCACTGCAGCTTCTGACGTATCACATAGCTAAAAAGGGCAATAAGCAGGCATATTATCCTAAAAACTAAAAATGCAATCAACTGCTGGAATTTAATGAAAATGTAAAAACAAAGACGAAATAAGACCCCAAACCTCAAACCCACAATCTTGTGTGCTTCGTCCTTCCATCGTAGACTCTTGTCTCATTGTCACTCTGCTGCTCCCCCCTCCGGCATAGATGATCTTGTCTTCCCTCGTATACACACTTAACGGAGTACTGGATCGAAGACTACGTTTTTAAAAAGCTCCCTCAAGTTTCACCAATTTCCGTTCCGACTTCCAACCTCCCAGCTCGCGTCTTATTCGGGGGCCAACACGCGCAAGCACCGCCCGGGGCGTTCGTACAGGAAAAAAAAAAGCAGAAAAAAGACGCTCAACTGCTCAGGTCATCTATCAAAATGTACAAAAAAAAAGAGAGAGAAAGAATTAAGTCGCGGGGATAATTTAGCGGGAACAGAGAGACACAAAAACAGATTTGATACCTGACCTTGACCAGCAAAATTGATTTCGATGCCGCTATTGTTGGGCCGTTATTGAACTTTGAGTGATTCTTCTCGGGATGGATAACACCGCTTTTTGTTGCGGCCCAGCGATACATACATACATCTCTATTTGCAGGGGGTGTGCGTGTACTTAAGCAATAAAGCACACCCAAATTGCTTGAAATTCGAGCTTCTTTTCTGCAGTTGTTCATTCCTGCTGGTTTAGTATCTCCTCTCTTAGCCGAGATACCAAATACAACAGTGATTCATGCGTCTCAATAGAATCCAATAAAATAGTTTCTATCACTTTCAACCGAAATCTAATTCAGTCTCGGACCTGCCAAATTGACCTGTATTTCGATACGCCAACCTGAGTTTCAAATATAACTTCAAACAAAGATGAAAGCTTATGTTCAGCATTAAATATAGATAGAATTCGGGCAATTCAATTCACAAAAAGCCCGCAAAGCCAAGAAAAGACAAGGTTTGAACAGTTGAAGACACTGAATTACTATACCGTAGGGTTCGTTGCTAAACTGTAAGTTTCAGGGGAAAAAAGGAAAAGCTTACCTTTGTTACGCTTAGGCCTATGTATTTGGCCTTATATAAGATAAGGTGTTTCAAGGAAAAAAACAATCTCAATATTAATCTTAATCTAATGGTTAATATGCTAAACTGTAATCTTACCAATAAAAACTTGATATCCGCATTATGAACTGGGTGCATGGCTTGCTTTTCGCTGATACCTTATAGTTACATTCCTGAATGGACGCATAATTGAGAACTAGTGTAAACTATTTTTAAGATGTATGTAAACTAAAACTAGAACTCTTCAAATGTGACGCAGGATTGGGCTGGGGTAGCTTTAAATCGAACAAAATCAAACACAATCAGAGCATGGACATCTGTGATGATGGCACAAAAGCCTACAGGCTCTGATACAATAAACTTTATTCACATGTGGGAAAAAATGCAGCATGACTTTTTCAATATTTTTTCGCTTACCAAATCCCTTCACAT